GAATTGTTTCAATTTGCATTCCTCCAAACAATAGTAATATGGATCACCTTCTCAAATGGTTATAGATAGCTTTGATAACTTCATCTGAAAACTGTCCATATATCTTGGTCATTTATCAATTGGGGAATGACCCCTATTTTTATAAATTGGACTCAGTTCTCTATTTATTTGAGAAATGGGGTCTTTATCAGAAAAACACAACAAAATTTTTTTTCACAGTTATGATTGCTAAATGTATTTCTCTATATGCTATTTCCCCTGCCTCCATTTATTCTATTCTCTCTCTCCTTTCATCCTTTGCTTTTGACTACTGCTTCCCCTAATTTGCCCTCCCTTCTACCACTCCCTGCCCCTTCTCTTATTCCCTTCCCCTCCTACTTTCCTATAGGGTAAGCTAGATTTCCATATCCATTTGAGTGTGTATGTTATTCCCTCTTTGAGTCAATTCTGATGAGAGTAAGGTTCTCTCACTCTCCTCCCCCCCAATTCCCCCATCTTCCCCTCCACTGTAAAAACTTTTTCTTGCCTCTTTTATGTGAGATAATTTATCCTATTCTACCCCCTCCCTTTCCCTTTCTCCCAGTGCATTGTTTTTTCTCATCTCTTAATTTTATTTTTTAGATATCATCCTTTCATATTCAACTCACACCTGTGCCCTCTACATATATATATATATGTGTATATACATATATTCCTAACTTCCCTAATAATGAGAAAGTTTTTATGAGTTACAAGCATCATCTTCCCATGTAGACATGTAAACAGTTTAACCTTATTAAGTCCCTTATGATTTGCCTCTCTTGTTTACTTTTTTATGCTTCTCTTGAAATTTTCTCTTCAGCTCTGGTCTTTTCATCAAGAAAGTCCTTGAAAGTCCTCTATTTCATTGAATATTTATTTTTCCCTCTGAAGGATCATAATCAGTTTTACTGATTCTTGGTTGTAATTCTAACTCCTTTGCCCTCTGGAATATCATGTTCCAAGCCCTCCAATCCTTTAATGTAGAAACTGCTCAATTGTGGGTTATCCTGAATGAGGCACCACAGTATTTGATTTTTTTCTTTCTGACTGCTTGCAACATTCTCTCCTTGATCTGGGAGCTCTGGGATTTGTCTCTGATATTCTTGGGGGTTTTCATTTTGGGATCTCTTTCAGGAAGTGATCAGTGGATTCTTTCAATTTCTATTTTACACTCTGATTGTAGAATATCAGAACAGTTTTCCTTGATAATTTCATGAAAGATGATGTCTAGGCTCTTCTTTTGATCATGGCTTTTAGGTAGTCTAATAATTTTTAAATCATCTCTCCTGGGTCTATTGTCCAGGTCAGTTGTTTTTCCAATGAGATATTTCTATTTTTTCATTCATTTTTGTTTCTGTTTCATTATTTTGTTTCATTATTTCTTGATTTCTCATAAAGTCATTAACTTCCATTTGCTCAATTCTAATTTTTAAGGAGTTATTTTGTTCATTGAGCTTTTGTACTTCCTTTTCCATTTGGCCAATCCTACTTTTTTTTTCCTTCAGTGAATTTTTGTGCCTCTTTTTCCATTTGGCTAATTCTGCCTTTCAAGGTATTCTCCTCATTGTCTTTTTTGTACCTCTTTTACCATTTGGCCTAGTCTGTTTTTTAAGGTGTTATTTTCTTCAATATTTTTTGTATCTCCTATACCAAGCTGTTGACTCTTTTTTTTTCATTATTTTCTTGCATTACTCTCATTTTTCTTCCCAATTTTTCTTCTACCTCTCTTACTTGATTTTCAAAATCCTTTTTGAGCTCTTCCATGGCCTGAGACCAATTCATATTTTTCTTGTAGGCTTTGGACATAGGAGCTTTGGCCTTGTTATCTTCTGAGTGTGTGTTTTGAACTTCCTTGTCACCATAGTAACTTTCTATTGTCAGAATTTTTTTCTGTTGTTTGCTCATTTTTCCAGTCTATTTCTTGACTTTTAACTCTTTGTTAAAGTGGGGCTCTGCTTCCAGGGTGAGGGGTGCATTGTCCCAAGCTTCAGGGTTTTTGTGCTGCTATTTTCAGAGATACTTCTAGAGACCTGTAAGTTTTCAGTTCTTCCAAGATAGTACGATCTAAGGAGAGGTGTGTTCACTACTATCCTAGCCTGTGCTCTGGTCTATGAGCAACCACAAGTACTTTTTTCTGCCCTGGAATTGTAATGAGGATCCCTACTCCACTGTGGTCATAATCGCTGATGTACTAGTGCTTCTCCTCACTCTGGGACTGCCACCCAGGACTGTGACTCTGATCCAAGTATGGGCAAAGCAACAGAGGCCTGCCCCCAGTGCCAGAAAAGAGACCCCATGATCCTCTGATCAGTTATTCAGCCCTTTGCTGTCCATGTGCTGAAAGCTCTGTAAGCAGCTGCTACCACTGCTGATTCAGGGGCTATCACAGCCTGCTCCTGGTTTGCTGGGGCCCAGTCTGCACTGGTGCAGCCTGCGCTGGACTGTGCTCCACTCTCCCCCAAGTGTGACAGAACTTCTCTGTTGACCTTCTAAGTTGTCTTTGGCTGGAAAATTATTTTACCTCATCCTTTTGTGGGTTCTGCCACTCTAGCATTTGTTTTATGGCATTATTTAAAGGTGTTCACAGGGTTTTTAGGGAGTAGGGTATGTTTTTTCCAAAAAAAAAAAAAAAGGCTGGTAATCATTTTAAGAGAGAGGGAAGGGACTTGGGATGGTAAGAAGGAAGAAGGAACTGAGTGGCCTGTGTATCTTTACCCCCTCCTCTCCACATATCCAAATTCTATCCATTCTTTGAGAGGTAGCATGATGGTAGAGAACAGGCTGGAAAGTTAGGAAGACCTGTGTTCAAGTCCAACCCCTGATATATGCCATCTGTGTGACCTTGGTCAAGTCTCTGAAGTTTCTCAGTTATCCAAGTGACTCTTTAAGATTATAAGTTACAGGGCATATGATGATCTGGGTTGCTAGGGGAGGATTTCTCAAGGGCAAGTCCTTATATTTATCCTTTTCTTTATCCAATTCACTTGCAAGTCAAGACATCACCCTCCTGATGTCATTGGTCCTCTTTGAGAACAAAGGACGAATAACAATAACAACAACCTTATACCAATGAAATCCCAGGGCCAGTCCCAAAAGCGAAGCTTAGCTAAGTGTCCACCTCCTTTGAGAAGTCTTCTCTGGCTAGTGATATTGGCTCACATCTATGTAGCATTTCATAGTCAACAAAATACTTTACCTACATTAGAATCTCATGTGACCCTCATAATTGCCCTATAAGGGAGGTTAGTAAGCTTCTATCACTCTTGTTTTACAGGTGAAACTGAGGCTCAGAGAAACACATCTAACAACAGTAGTAGCTAGTATTTACATATCACTTTAAGGTTTACAAAGTGCTTTACACACCCTGACTCATTTGATTCCTTATAACAACCCTGTGAAGTAAATGCTATTAGCACCCCATTTTACAGATGAGGAAACTGAGGGACAGTGAGGTTAAAAGACTTGCCCAAAGTCACACAGCTGGTTAAGTGTCCGAGGCAGGATTTGAACTCAGGTTTTCCTTACTCCAAGTCCCACACGCTACTGTGCCTCCTACCTACACTAATAAGAGTTAGAGGAACTTCTCAAAACTCAAGGCTTCAGACTCCAAGGACAGTGCTGATTAGAGTTTTCTGACTGTCCCAGGCCCACTGTATCTCTTCCTTCTTTTTTTTTCTGAACTCATGTAGAACTTACTATCTGAGCTATACAACGGTATTCCCCTGCACCCTTAACCACACTGGCTATTTTTCATGACTCTCTCTCTTGCCTCTCTAACTAAACCGTAAGCTCTTCTATCCCCACGTGATGCCTAACATAGGGCTAAGCAAGCAGCAGGTGCTCCGCAAATACTTGCTAAATTAGTAATAATAGCTGACATTTGTATAGCACTTTACAATTTGCAAAGTACTTAACATACATTATCTCATTTGATCCTCTTATTATCCCCACTTTACAGATGGGGAAAATGAGGCTCAGAGGGATTAAGTGACCAGAGGGACTCACACACCCTTAGTAAAGTGTCCAAGCCAAGTCTTCCTGGTTCCAAGCTTAGCATGCTAGTCCTTCGCCACACTACCCTCACTGAAGGGAATAAATAATGGAATGGAATCGAATGGAGGAAGGCTCAGAAGGTCTGGAAGAAGAAGAATAGAATTAATTCAGATTTGTTTACCACCTCCCAGAACAGGGTGGGTCTAGGCCCCCACCCCTCCTTAAAGCCTAAATGGAGTAATTTGAACACAATATAAGCAAGGCTGACTTCAAACAGTGGGAAATAAACATAACCAGCTGCAAATATAAACAGGCTCAAGGAAGGTTTAGGAGATTCCTGGAAGACTGAGCCATTATGAGTTTTGATGGAAGCTAAGGATGTTTGGAAGGTGCCCCTAATCCTTTGTGGTTGACAGTTGGGGAAGGCAGCCAACATCTCCTCCACACCGTGGCTTTGGATCCTCCTCTGAGACAGAGTCCTGGGGCCAAGGGGCCATAGGGCTCACCCAGGAGGGAATTTCCCACATGCTGATTTCCACCCCCACCCCCATCTCCCACTTCCCCCAGTTCCCCTGCTGTCCCTGTATTCTCAGGACCCTCTGGCCTGACCCAGCTCACCATGCCTGGTTGGTTTCCTAGACAATCATGTGCCACCAGCCAGGTGCCTGTGAGCTGTTGACATTTCTTGGACCTGCCCAAAGCACCTCTAAGCATGAGAGAGTTAGCTTCCAGAATAGAACCCTGTATGTGAGAGAGAAAGAAGGTCCACCCTGAGGAGGCAAACAAGAGAACCCTGGCAGGAAGAGGCTCTCTGCAGAGATTTTACAAGCTGTGGAGCGGAGCTCAGACAAATGTATTTATAGCAGAATGCTTTCATGTCACCAAAGAGGGGAGGCCAACCTAAACACAGCAGAACTGTAAGAAAGCAGGAAACGAAAGTGCACACACTCTGAAATAATTGTGTTACACCCTGGGGGGAGGAGGAAGAAGGCGGAAGGCAGGAGAGGACTCCCCAGGGTCAGCAGGCCTGCCAATGGACTGGAAAGCCCGGGAGTAAGTCCCTCCAGTTCCTGTCTGCTGCAAGAAGGGTGAGTCCCATAACTCACAGGGATGGCGTTGCCGCCGAAATGCCTTTTCAGATATCCATTTTAAGAAGCATCTGCCGCCTACTGAATGCCCCTTTACCCATAGTCCTAGTAAAGTCTCACAGCACATTGGGAGTTCAGCCCTCTTGAGCCAGGCTGTCTTGGCCTTCCTGGCCCTTCACAGTGTTGCCTCGAGGTGCTACTAACCTGCTGGGCAAAGGTATGCTTATCTCTGAGTGCTGGCTTTTTAAAACTTTCATGGCTAAGCTCCCAGAGTTAGACAACGCTAGGAGAATAAACACTGAAGAATATCTCGCTTTCCACTGTATTAACAACACAGTCAATATTTGGCTGACTTGCTTACTTTGTTGATATCTCCCATTATTTCTAAGATTTCCTTTTGGCTTAATTACCTTCTTTGTTGACTTCTGGCTCTTTTTTTTCTTTCCATTTTGAACTTTCCATATGACTTGAATCCCAATCATCTTAGGGAGACCCTTTCTAAAGGTTTTCTTGAGGAGGAGGAAATGGAAGTTAAGCCGTTGTTTTTATCCCTAATCATGTGATAGACTGAGTGGCTATCATAAGGTCAGTTTCCCAAAATGCCTAGTATTCTGCTTTGGGAACAGCAAAACTCACTACTTTGAGACTATCAAGCATTTCTATATATTACCAACAAAGCCAAACAGCAAGAGATAGAAAGAGAAATTCCATTTAAACTTACTGTAGACATTATAAAATATTTAGGAGTCTACCTCCTGAAACAAACCCAGGAACTCTATGAACACAATTACAAAACACTTTTCACGAAAATAAAATCAGATCTAAATAATTGGAAAAACACCAGTTGCTCATGGGTAGGCCAAGCTAATATAATAAAAATGACAATTCTACCTAAGCTAATTTACTTATTCAGTGCCATACCAATCAAACTACCAAAAAATTATTTTATAGAGTTAGAAAAAATAATAACAAGATTCATTTGGAAGAACAAAAGGTCCAGAATATCAAGAGAACTAATGAAAAGAAATGCAGGGGAGACTATCAAAATAGTCATGAAGGAGCTATACAGTAGCTTCATGTGCTGGTTTCGTCACTTCTCAGAAACCTTTTCACAAATGGAATCAACAGGTGTGTTCTTTGTTATCACCATTATCAACATCATTACCATGTCTCCATCACCAGATCACCATGGAGGTCACGAAACCTTTATCAAGAACCTACTCTTGTGTAGCCACTGCGCTAGGTGCTTGGGACCCAGTGAGAGATGAAGACAGTTTCTGTTCTCAAGCAGATTATAATCTAGATAGAGAGGTGGAGAATATCTCTGAAAAAGTTATATAATACCACAAGGTATTAAATATCAGATAAGGGAAAGATGCTGACAAGTTGAAGCAGTTACGGGGGACAGTGGGGGAATGGAGACAACGTAAGACAAGGATCAGCAGAAGGAACTGGGGATGTTCAGACTGAGGGAGAGGAGACTTAGTGGGGACACAGTTGCTATCTTTAATATTAAAAAGGCTACCATGTAGAAGGAGACTTAGATTTTCTTTGCTTAGCCTTAGAAGGCAAAGGTAGAGGGGCAGCTAGTTGGCACAGTGGATAGAGCACCACCCCTGAAGTCAGAATGACCTGAATTCAAATCTGGCCTCAGACCAAACACTTGACACTTACTAGCTGTGTGACCCTGGGCAAGTCACTTAACCCCAATTGCCTAAAAAAAAAAAAGAAGAAGAAGAAGGCAGAGTTAGGAACTATGGGTAAAATTACAGAGGGTTTAAATATGAGGAAAAATCCTCGACTTTACTGATACAGTATGCTCCCAGAAGACTGAAGTGAAGAGTCCACCTTATTATGCTACTAGGAAAGCAAACTCAATGAGTTAGTAAGACTGTGCAGATTTGATGAGAAGATATTTGCTTGTTTTTCTAGTATTTGTTATTGTTATTCAGTTGTTATTAGTTGTGTTAGACTCCTCAAGACCCCATTTGGGGTTTTCTTAGCAAAGCTACTGGAGTGGCTTGTCATTTCCTTCTCCAGCTCATTTTATAGATGAGGAAACTGAGGCAAACAGGGTTAAGTGACTTGCCCAGGGTCAAATAGCTACTAAGCATCTGAAGCCAGGTTTGAACTCACAAGGATGAGTCTTCTTGATTTCAGGCCCAGTACTCAATCCACTGTACCACCTAGTATTTATCTGGTATTTATTTCTCTGTGACTGTGTTGTTACCCATACATAGAACCAATCAACAAGTGTTTATTAAATACTATGCTGGTAATAAAAAGACAAAAATGAAATAATCTCTGTTCTCAGGGAACTTACATTCTATTAGAGGAGAAAAAAACATATAGACACATTCAGCTGCAGTTTGATCTATTTATCTATCTATCTAGATCTAAATCTATATGTGATGCCCCTAGAGTATTAATGAAATTTTAAGCTATTAAAGCCTATTAAAGCTTGAAAAAGCATTAAGACTTTGGGGACATGCTGTACAAATGTGTACAAAATTAGTACAAGCGATTTTTTGGGAGGGGGAATGGAACTGACAGCTAGGTGGCTCATGTTTCATGAAAAGTTTCATGTTTCAATGGTTTCAAAAACCCATGGAGCTGTTCTTTGATAAAATGAAAACTCCTTGGTGGCAAGGACTGTATCATTCTTGCATTTGTATCTTCAGTGCCAAGCACGTGTCGGTGTTGTCGATGTGCAGTCATTCGGTCACATCCAACTCTTCATGACTCCAGGGACCACAGCACATGTCCCTTCTATCCTCACAACCTCTCGAAGTCTGTCCAAGTCCATGTTCATTATTTCCGTGATACTATCTATCCATCTTACTCTCTGCCTCCCCCTTTTCTTTTTGCTTTCAATCTTCCCCAACATCAGGTCCTTTTCCCATAAGTCCCCTCTTATTACTATGTGGCTAAAGTATTTAAGCTTCAGCTTCAGTATCTGACCTTCCAGTGAATAGCCTGAATTAATTTCTTTAAGTATTGACTGATTTGGTCTCTCTGATGTTCAAAGGACTCTCAAAATTCTTCTCCAGCACCACAATTTGAAAACATCAATTCTCTGGCACTCAGTTTTCTTTATAGTCGAACTCTCACAGCCATACACAGCTACTGGAAAAACCATAGCTTTGACTGTATGTCAAAGATAAGGTAATGTCTCTGCTTTTTACTATGCTGTCTAGATTTGCTGCAGCTTTCCTTCCAAAGCCAAGCATCTTTTAATTTCATAGCTGTAGCCTTCATCTGTAGTGATTTTTGAGCCCAAGAATATAAAATCCGATACAACTTCCATTTCTTCTCCCTCTATTTGCAAGAAGTGATGGGAACAGTTGTCAAGATCTTATTTTTTTTTATGTTATGCTTCAAGCCAGCTTTTATACTCTGCTCTTTCACCCTCATCAAGAGGCTTCTTAATTCTTCTCTTTCTGCCATGAGTGATTTCGTCTGAATATCTGAGATTGTTGATATTTCTCCCAGCAACCTTAATTCCAGCTTTTGATTCATCCAGCCTGCCATTTTGCATGACATACTCTGCATGTAAGTTAAATAAATAAGGTGACAATATACAGCTTTGTCATACTCCTTTTCTAATCTTAAACTAATCAGTTTTTCCATGTTCAGTTATAACTGTTGCTTCTTGGTCTGCATACAAGTTCCTCAGGAGACAAGTAAGATGATCTGGTACTCCCATCTCTTTGAGGACTTGCCACATTTTATTGTGATTCAGACAGTCAAAGGCATTAGTATAGTCAATTCAGCAGAAGTAGATGATTTTCTAGAAGTCCCTTGCTTTATTCATAATCCAGTGAATGTTGGCAATTTGGTCTCTAGCTCCTCTGCCTCTTTGAAAACCAGCCTGCTCTTCTGGTAATTCTTGATTCACATATTGCTAGAGCCAACTTGTAGAATCTCAAGCATAATCTTGCTGGCATGTGAAATGCACATAATTGTTTAGTAATTTGGACATTTCTTGGCATTATTCTTCTTTAGGACTGGAATACAACCTGATCTTTTCCAATCCAGTGGCCACTATTGTCTTTTTCAAATTTGTTGGCCTATTGAACACAGCACTTTAATAGCATCATCTTTTAGGATTTTAAATAGCTCAGGTGGAATTCTATCCCCTTCACTAGACTTATTGTTAGCAATGCTTCTTAAGGCCCACTTGACTTCATTCTCCAGGATGTTTGGTTCTAGATCAGTAACCACACCATCAAGGCTATCAGTGATGTTAAGAGATGACATTGGAAGATGAACCCCTTAGGCCTAGTACATAGTAGGTGCTTAATAAATAAATTTTTGTTTAACTTATTCAGCAACCCCTAAAGTACTTTTACTTTTGGGACAGATTCTAAACTACAGGGTGATATAACTAATCTTGGAGAGACTCTGTAGGACTCTATAGGAAAAAGGAATTTGCTGAAATGACAAAGTGTTGTTCCAAATTCAGTTCCCTTCTTTGGGAAGTTGATGAGTAATTTAAATGCTGTATATTTTGGGAGCTGTTCAAGGGCTATGAGATTGTTGTCTCTTAGGTGTTTTCTGTGGGTCTGTCCTATGCCCATCACTCACATTGTACATTGAGTGCCTCTGCAGAAATGGGCTTCTGCATTGGGAGGGAACCTAGATACCAGATCTACCTATATTTTATTTTGGAGGTTCCCCATTAAAATTCTAAAGTGTCAACGATAAGCCAAGCAGAGAAAATAATGCTTTGGGATTAAGCCCTCAGGAGTGAAATGGGGCTCTGTGAACCTTGAGTCCTTGAAGAAAAGGTCAGAGACCTGAGCCATAGGTTATATTTGGTATATATATCTCAAGTGCCTAACTCCTTTAGGGAAAGCACACATCTTTGAGGTTTATGTTTGAGTTGGTTTTGATTAGCCCCAAGTTCATAATCTCTTTGTGGGAGCCCCATAATTTTTGAAGCTTATCATATTTGGAGTTGTTTATTTGATTCTTGAGCAAATCTAGACTTCTTGTAG